TGCATTACTAACGACCCACTTCCGAAGAGCACTGACCGATATATTAAAAGCCACACGATCTGTCTGTCCGTTTGTGTGGGTTTACGAGTACGGTTGCGATACGATTTCATGTTTCAAAATGTAGATTAGGTAGGTAGTGGTGTTTTGAAAACAACCAGCAAATGGCGAGTTATTCATACTTATAGACATAGTAGTAGAGCATTTAGAGTATTGTATAAATATTGCATTTATTGCATCATTCATGAATAATTTGATAAATACGAATAATAATTAAAGATATTATAATATGTTCGTACACTTCTTGCACATAGACCGCATCTAAAATTCACAACTAAAATTAAATAATAGTTAGATAGGTGCTTAGGATAATTTATTATTCTTGCAATAAAATGAGTTTCTAAACGTTAAAGTTTTTACCCGACTGCGCCAGGTTTTTGTAGATACTGGGAGATGGATTTTTTTTCGTAAATTTTGGATTAAATTCATTCATTAACATTAGAGAGCTCGACCTGGTTTGGTTAACACTCGTTCAGTTCCAGGTTTGGAAATGTTACTTATAATATGTAGATTCTTTATATTTATGAAATAACTGCAGAATACAGTAAACTCACAGTGACAGCGCTGGTAGGGCAAAAAAAGAATGAGACATGTATAGGCTCCTTAAGAGCATTTGACGATTTGCAAGAACTAATTTAATTAGTCTAAACAAATAAAGAAAATTTTGATTTTGATTTTGATTTTTCAAAACATCATAAAGTAGTCGACTACCCGCGCAAACAACAACAGTCAACACTATCCGGAACACCGGCTCGACACAGACCTTGAAACCGGTTGGTTGCGCAAGCGCCGGTAGCCCACATCGCGCGGCATTAAAAGTGCAAGTCGAGGTACTGACATAACTTGCGGTGCCATTTTTATTGACTTGTCTCTTTTAACAAATTAATTATACAACTCTACGTAAAAGCGCTTTAAAAAAAAGAGCTATTTGAGTTGTCAACATCTATCACGCTCGCTTCTAATTGACATTCTGTGTAAAGAAAAAAGCATTTATGACCATAATGTTTTGTTGCAAATAGGTGTTTTATTACTTAGTACGATGGCACAGTGTTCAGCTAATTGTGACCATAGTATAATACTGAGTTGTCTCTACACCCTAAGAAGATTAACCAACATATTTATATGGTAGAGATTATTGCTTAATTATTTACATAGAGCTTCATTCAGAAATCAGAAATCAGAAATATTTATTTGCTTTTGTGTGAAAATGACACCACTGCGCTCATGCAGCTTTCCAGTTATTTTCAGCTGTGTTCCAGAAGGTTTAGTAGAGACTGGAGTCTACTAGGGGCTCTACGCATTGTGAATGTTTGCGATTTGGTTTTGAAACCTTAGCGATGTTATCGGTAGTTGCAAAATTGATGGACGCAATGTGAGGATAGTTTATCAAAGCTGTTAGCGGAATCTTGATTTAGGAAATAATAATTTCATTGACGGGACCTTAATTTTTGAGTTTCCGATAGGTATTTCGACACTGTTGCAAGCGCCATGGTCATGGAGTAACTGAGGAAACTTGCGGGTGAGATGTTATGTGCAGACATATCGGTCTACTCAAAATTAAAGTACATGGTAGCAATCCCGTTAACTGAAGTAAGTTCAGTGGAGATAGACAAAGCTATGATCATCGTAGACGAGTATCGAAAATCTGTCATCATACATTGTGACACACAAGTTACATCGAAGATTTTTACCGCCATTTTTGGCTTATTTCGAAGAAACTTAGCCGTTCCAACTCCTCAACTAAAATGTGAATATTTCATCTGGTACATATTTAAAGACGGACACAAAACAAAAACAAGTAACTTTAAACTTAAAGCCGCTAACGTGGTACGTGAGCGTAGGTCGCGTCCGGGACTCGAACCCGCGCGTGCTCTCACATGCCAAGAGCTTCCTGTCGCTACGCACAGGGTTCACGCTTTTGGAATCATTTATACTTAGAACTACTACAGTTCTTAGATAAAAATAAACGTTAAATAGTAAACAAGTACACTTTTAAATCTTTTAATTCAAACCTTTTTAACCGACTTCAACAAAAAGAGGAGGTTCTCAATTCGCTTGGTACTTTTTATATTACTCATCATAAGAACGCGTTGTACTCGTAAAGTAATAAGTTAACATGCTACTATGTTAGATTCTAGGTAAAGTACGACTCTAGATTTAAGTTGTTTGGAAAAATATTCACAATCTCTTGATATTGTACCTAACTAGTACTTACTACTGTACTAAGTAATACCAGTATACTCTGAATTTTATTACATTAGATGTTTGTATTCTGTAGTTCCTCTATTTGCCTCTGGTAAAGAGAGGGCTTGCTCCTGCAGTGGATGAATATGATGATGATGGATATCCTGTATCTTAAATAAGGTCTCCGACTCTACCATTCAATGAAACCTCTAAAATAAACTCTCCTTTTTTATTCTTTCGTTGTATATTCGTCGGCCGTTTGGTGTAGTGGTTCTAAAACGGACTACTATGCCGAGAGGTCCCGGGTTCGATTCCCGGCCGGGCAGAAATTGAAATGATGAATTTTAATTTCTGTGACGGGTCTGGGTGTTACTATGTATAATAATATGTATGTATTTAAAAAGTATATATGTAGTATATCCGTTAAGCTAGCACCCATAACACAAGCATATTAATTGCTTACTTTGGGGCTAGATAGCGCTGTGTGAAATTGTCGAAAGATATTATTATATTTAGTCGTTGCCGATGGTAGCCCTCGAGCCAGTAACCTACGTCAACCGGCCGACTGAACAATGCGCTGTTCAGTCCTTATAAGTGACCGTTACCTATTCATGTTACACTATAGGGTGCAGCCACATTGAGGTAATTTTCAGCAGCCAGAGCAGCTAAGATTTTTCGCTCGTAACTCGTTGTTTTTTTTTGGTTCCTACCTAGTGGGCATGTCTCTAAGTCGCATAGTTTGCGAAAATTAAGCAAAAAACCAAAAAAAATATGTCCCTTCAAACCCCGCTCTCACCGCCGCCGCGGCTCAAGGGCTAAGGGCTGGGACTTTTGATATGTTAACCTCCTAACTAGTCCAAACAAAGGTACGAAGTCAAAAACTGTGTTCCAAGCATTTCCCTCTATAATACTTTATTAACTGAACTAATAGTAACAGTGCCACACATACGAGTATTCCTCATCACGAATGTTCGCTGAGCTTACGTTACACATACCTAAATGCAGTCGGTATGGACGCACCTTTACACTATTAAGTACTCTGCTACTTCCCTTCGGTGAGTCAGCTTGACTTGGTTCGGACAAGTGTTGAATAGTAATTTCACTTCGAAACCCAATTAGGATGTATGAATAAACATCGGTTAAGGATGCTATGAGTTTGAGGAGTTACATCTTCAAAAGTTGAAGTTAGTTAAAACCCTTATTGATAGAAAATACAGTAGTTAATCTATACTAATATTATAAAGAGTTAAAGTTTGTGTGTTTGTATTTTTGTTAAACTTTAAGGGGTAATCTCAGGATCTACTGAACAAATTTTAAAAATTCCTTCACCAATAGAAAGACACATTATTGCTGAGTTTCAAGATTATATAAAAATCCGAAAAATTCCTCGCGGGCGAAGCCGCGGGCGGAAAGCTAGTGTATTTATAAAAGTAGGTTATAATAACCAATCCTGATTATTATTTACAGATTAAATAAATAAAATAACCGGCGCCACGATTAGATTGACAGCTGAATCGTTCAATTTACGTTCCACCCTGTATTCTGCACATTTTTCCCTTTATAATTAATTCCTGTGCCCATAACGGGCTTTTGTCTGTTCTCCACAATCTAGGAAGCATATGGCGGCCTTATATGGCACGCCCATATATGGCACATAAGTGCGCCTGCGATTGTGTTGACTGCGCGCGATCCTTTTATGTTGGAGCGTTAGATTACACGGATGGTTCTCAAAGTGGCACAAAATTATTATTCTTCAAGTATTCTTGAATACAACGGGACAATTCCCAGCTCTCGTCCCCACGCTGCAACTCCTGTGTAGCCAGGATCTACAGCTTGACCTTAAAAACCCAACCAGTGAAGGTCAAGTTTTGTCCCGGGGAAAAGTTAAACTGTCATTGGACACGCAACGAAATTAAAATTCATGAATACAGTGATGGTCATCATCATTATCAGCTGGTCGTTAGTCTCCTCTGAAGGAAGATGTTTGTTCGTTTTAGCCAAATAACGGCCACTACTGGACAAAGGCGTCCCCCAAGGTTTTCCACAACGACCCGTGCTTCCCACGACCTTCACTAAATCGTTGGTCCTCCTAGTGGAAAGCCTGACCTGCTCCTAGGTATGATGCTGACCTTCTCTAATTTACCAGAGGCAAATGGAGGATTTGACTTAAACGCCCCACGCTGTGACAAGATTTGTTGAGGAGGCCTGATATAGTCGCATTTCTCCCTTCATCTCCTCTTACTCTTTCTCTCTCTCATGAATATTGGGAGTGTTTCTCTAAGGGTCTACTTACTCCTCACTGTAGACTTTAATCAATAGAATCTAAAATAAATTCTTTCTTAGACCAATGTTTGAGAACCGCTGGCCTCCAGTTAATCTCGCATAATCGCAATGGCAATACGGCATAAATGCGTAGTAATGTTATTAATATTTTCATTCACATGATAAACAGAATTAACTGTGTTTGTGTGGAGGTGGCTCCAGTCGACCTACTCGGAACTGCATTCAATTGATAAATAAATTAAATTGCTAAGTTACAGTTATTGTAGTTTTAATAACAATCTTTGACGTGGGAAGATGTTTGATTTAAACTGAATTTAAAAAAGGTAACTAGTATGTATAATTATTATAAAACATACATACGAGTATATGTATTTTTTTCTTGCACCTTTCAAGCTCTACATGACCCAAAGGTGGTGGTGGGGAATGCAATTTTGCCTGATAAAGTTCTAATTTTCATAATTTAAGTACTCACATTAATTTATCTGTTACAGTATATCATGAGGAAATCTGAAACAAACAGAAATACCAAATAAGTCAAACAAACTCAAGCAAAGACTCGCTCAAAAAAGCTTAATTAATATGTATAAAAAATACAGATTTACAAACAGTTAATCCAAAAGCTTTCGGAGCTCATATAAATTGACTTGGCATAATAAAGGAACCGAATCCGAGACTTTATTACATCTCAGAAGTGTTACACCCGTATTTACAAACATTACTATGAGGTCTCACAGTGCGCGTGGACGCACAGGGTCCCAAAAACCTTCATAGGCAATATTTGAGTGGCGGAGTGACACACACGAACCAATCACAGAACTCTATTCAACGCTATGCGTTCGACTCCGCATAGCGTTGCTGCTTCACTTAAGCAAGCATAATTTGTGAATACGGGTATTACTCGTACATAACGGAGTTATTCCCACCTCTCGTTCCCACCGCTGCAACTCCTGTGTAGCCAGGATCTACAGCTCGAACGCCAATAAAACCCAACCAATGAAGAAAGGCTAGATTAGCTAAGAAGGCTAATTTAGCTACGTTAGCAAAGAAGGCTAATTTAGGCGATTATCACACTGTACCGCGGTCCGCGTGGCGACATAATAATATAACGAATTCCGCGCGCAGACGCGTTGTCAGTGTGTTGCGCCGCGCGTGTTTTCTATACAAACTGAGGTTGCATATAATGATTAAATCTGTCCTCCTGCGTACCGCGGCGGAGCGCGGTGCAGTGTGATAATCGCCTTAGTGTTACCTAGGTGGCAATCAAGGCTCTATTTTATTAAGTCTGATCTGGAAAGCATCTTTCTCCAGGCAAATCCTTGAGAAAGATCGAAACTAGCGCTCGCTGGTGATATAACGCGTCGGCGACATCAAAGCGGCGCCATGTTGGGCACTCGCGCGCAGCTAGTGGCGAGATTGCCATGTGCTATTGGTTTAGGGCCGCGGTGTACTGGGAGCGATACTTTAGGTAGGTATTATCTTTTAGACTAAGAGCTAGTGAACGTCAGACCTACGTCATTTTATAAAAGCTGAAAGGTTGTCAGCGTATGCTCCCAACATTGGTTAGAATGCTGGTGATTCATGAAGTTTGGGTCATCGTGGCTTTGGCAGCTATCCTAAAAAAACTGTCTGGCAAGGAGTTGGGACTGTCAAAACTATCTGGCTGATGTGGAAATAATTTCTAATCATTGCCCAAATATTATGCATAATAAAACAATCCACAAACTACAAAAATCACCAAAATTGGTTTGGAAGGATCCATGTCAAATCGACGCCTATGGCAGTCATCATACTGATCAATGGCAGGATGAGCTGTTGCCTGAACTTTATTAAAATGATATTAGGTTCAAAAATACTTTCTTCCTTATACCTACTGGTTATGACCACAGACTACAGATTATGCCCTCTTATTCAACCTACACGATTGAAGAAGAGTTTAGTAAAGTAACCTTAACGGCTGGGAATAATACCCGAGGCGCATTACATCCTTCAGAAGTGCTACTTAAGTGGCAGTATTCTGAAGTTCTATAAAAGGCTATTATTGTCTCTAAGACTGTCTTCTATAATATTATCTTCATCACACAACAAACAAACTTACTTTCATTTTATGACAATTAAATATAAATCAATATATTTTGCAAATATCATTGGAACACAAGCCTAACCTAATTATAGTAATTTGTCAGCTGTTCGAAAGCCTATAAAAATAGTTGCCAACGTTTTCCCGAGACCCTTCGGAGATTAAAATCGCTAGATAAATATAGTCGGCGAATAGAACATGTATTAAACATTCCTTGAAAAGTGTTGGCGGGTAGTTTCTCTGATGGTTTATTTTAAGGCCGGGTAATTAAGCCGTTGGCTGCCGGCGTGTTTTAGCACAGAAATATTACCATCTTACCTAAGTCTGTCGCCATAACAACAATGTTAACAGCATTGTTGTGTTCCGGCAGTTAGAGGTAAGATAGCCAGTTCCTCCGTGGTTGAGGATTCTGGGTGAAGCTCGCTTCCACCTTCGGCCTGATCGTCACTTACCATCAGGTGAGATACAGGCCAAGAACTTCCTCGTTGTGGAAAAAAAAAACTTGAGTATAAAGTATAGACGTACGTAAGTAAACTAATGCTAAGTAGCGACACGATGTAATCATGCAACTGTTACGTTTTTTGTACCTCCTTTTTGGAAAAAATAATGAGGTTCTCCCTTGACCCTAACTTAATGCTTAGAAAAAGTATCTTATTATTGAATGGAATAGCAGTATGAAAGGTGCATTAATTGTTCTTCAATTTCTTCTTCTTCTATCGTATTGGTTTCAACCATAATGTAATGGTAATTGGAGCAACCCATAGTTTAAATTGGGCCATGTTGTCAAATTCCTATCCTATAATCTATACTAATATTATAAAGCTGAAGTAGTGGAACATGACGCTCAACCACCATAAGGAGTTAGAACATTTAATTTACACAATCTTGGTTTGTCTATATATACTGGGCAGGGTAAAAAACTTCGTCACCGCGATGCAGGATTGTATGCGCGGTGGAGTTTGCCATAGTAAGATCGTAACAGCGCCATCTGTTGGTACGGTTTGTAGTGGCGCAATTTATTAATCACAGTTTGTTTATTTGGTTGAACGCGCTAATCTCAGGAACTACTGGACCAATTTGAAAAATTCTTTTTGTGTTGGATAGTCCGTTAATCCCTGAAGGCTTTAGGCTATATATCATCACGCTAAGACCACTAGGAGCGGAGCACCAATGAAGAATGTTTCAAATCAGTGATTTTTTTCCTTTTGAGAGCTGACGCTGCGTAAACGGTTAAAGTTTCGCATAAATTATGTATGATAGGATTTTCCCCTTTAAAAGTTCTACAAAAAAGTCCGCTACAGCATATGTCTATCTTTTATGGTTGGCTCACTGTAACCTTTTTGTCTGGATGTCTGGATGTTTGTTCCTCTTTCACGCAAAAACTAATAAACGGATTTTGTTGAAACTTTACAGTATTATTATTTATAACCCAGGCTAATATATAGGCTACAATTTATGACGATATGTGACAAACTAAATTTCAATAAATAGTTAAGAGGTGAGAAATATCCTTAAAAACGCCATCTATCGACGTGCTTTTGACGGTCGTAAACATTCATGAGAGCGAAGCCGTGAAACGTATCATTAGTCCTAATTAGGAACTAAATATTACATTTATAGAACTGTTCATAATATTTAAAATTTAGTCATTATAGATATTTTATGTAATTGAATAATTCACTGTGTTTAAACGAGCAAATCAAAGTCTAAATTAGTGACCGCCATCTATCGACGTGCTTTTGACGGTCGTTAACATTCATGAGAGCGAAGCCGTGAAAAGTATCATTAAAATTTTATGTAATTGAATCATTCACTGTGTTTAAACGATCAAATAGTATTCAAACATTTAGATAATAACGTTAAAAACCATTTAAAAATCCTATGAGAACTTTTTCGAGTTCTACACGGACGAAGTCGCGGGCAAAAGCTATTTGTAAAATCATCATCATCATCATTTCAGCCATAGGACGTCCACTGCTGAACATAGGCCTTTGTAAAATAATTAGACTAAATTATTAAAAGTGCCTACCCAAAGTCATTAGTCCACGCGGACGAAGTCGCGGGCACAGCTAGTAATAAATATTTTCGGACAACAACCAGTTTGATTCTATTATTGTTGATTTGTTTGTTCATTTAGGAACTCGTGCTTACGAGTTCCTAAATATTTTGCGTCTTATGGAATCGAACCCTCAACTTATGACTAGACCACGGAGGTCCTCAATCGATTTCAAATCACTAATTGTTCTTTCCAAATCGTCTGTTCATTTAGTAAACACTTTGTCCACCACTTTCCACCATTTTGGTCATCTTTATCGTACAATCAGCACATCAAGGTAACAACACCTTATGTAGTCGGAATAGAGGCGATATTGCCAGTTTGTTTAGCTGGCGATTGTACAGTCAAGGTTGTCAAACATGACACAGTTCCTTGCAAGGAATTTCGTTTATCTGTATAATGACCGTCTTAAGGTCCTAAAAGATTGCTTTGTTTACTTACAATGTTGGTTAAAAGATAATGGGGTTTCGATATTTTCGTTATCTTTACTAACAAGTTCAATTGGTAAGGTAATAACCCCAATACCCGTCTACGTTTACTTTCTGGTTCTTTGTTAAAAAGTAAGTAGTTAGTTCAGATCTTGTGAAATTAGTATTTTTCGTATTCTTGGATTATTAAATTAATTTAAGATATTTTAAACTTTGAAAATGTTTCAGCAGTAATGGATGGACAGATGACCTTCTAAAGGTTTCAGGAAAACGCTACATGCAGGGCCGCTACCAACCGGCAAAATAGAAATCATTGGGGGAGGCCTATTTTCAGCAGTGTCCTGTAGCTGAAATAATAATGAGGTTTTTTATGGGATAGGGGCCGAAGGAGCAAATGCATCGTCTGATGGTAAGTGATTACCGTCACCCATAGACACCCGCAGCCCAAGGGGAGTTACAGGTGCGGTACCAGCCTTTAAGGTATGCAGTACGCTCTCTATTATCCCTTTCAGCACAGAATAATACGAAAGTGCGTTCGACTTTGAAAAAATCTAGTGAATTGGTAAATCAATTTTACCGCGCCAAGACGCTTCCGATCGATCGTACGGTTCGATATATTTGCTATTTTTCATACAAAAACTTTCAATGGCGTTCAGTCGGTGCTGTGTTGAGTGACAAAGATGGACGTGTACCTGACTACGGGAGGCGTGAAAAGTATTAATTTATTTAAATTACTTCTTTTGTGGATTTCAATGAATTTTGTGCGTATTAATTTAAATTATATCCTTAAAAAATATAATTCGCTTTAATTTTATAAAAAGTTAGATGAAGCCGAGTACCAGGTACTCCTAAAGTTCTACAGCACGAGCGTGCATGTCGGGACGATGTTTGAATTTTTGGTAATGTAAGTAATGGAAACCTTTCGAATCTTTTAAAGGCCTGAACA